AAGGCAACTTTTTATTTTTACCAATTTATAAAGTAAGAAATCAAATCATTTTATACGAATACTTAGGTTATATTTCTATGTAAGTTACCGTTTTTTGATAATATATAAATGTTTTAAATCCTACTAGAAGAATAAATTATAAAAATAATAAAAAACACAACTAAACCACCACATATATCTGACTGCATGTTAGTAAATTTTATAATCACGTATCAAACAGATATATTGGGACATCGATTGCGACAAACGATGGTGCATATTTTGCACAATTTTGACAGTGTTTCTATAATATCGACTTATTTCGGAATACTAAATTTGCTGCCATATTAAATTTGCATCGCTGACGATGTAAAAAGGTATTTTACGCGAAATATGCCCACACGAAGTTCTTATGGACTTGTTGTCTTCCAGTCAACCGTAAATTCGTTGGAATATTAGAAAGGCTAGCGAATATTTATTGTTTCCAGGAAATTTTCCTTTACGGTGGACGTTCAGTTAAAGTTTGCAAACCGTTAAATTACAGATTATTCCAATAGTCAGCTTTTTAAAGAGTGGCAATATGGCAATGAAAGCAAACGTTCTATTTTCTTCTATCATAATCCCGAATATAATGAGTTATAAAGATATACAATTCAATTAAACTGCGATAATAACTTGAACAATAATTAAGTAATTAAAAAAGTGAACACATATGTACAGTCTGTCCCTAACCCTTTTTTCAGTGCGTCACTAGTTTTGACGTCATATAGGATTTTAAGAATGTCGAGAAATATTGCATGACATTTTAGTTAAATCTGACAGTTGCAGGATCGTAATCGGCTAAACGTGAAAAGGTTATTTTTTTTAATGCATAGCAGTTTGTCATAATTCTATTCTATTCTGTTCTATTTTATACATTCCATGGAAAGTGCTTAAGTAGCTAAGATTTGTTTATGGATTTATTATTATTTATTACAAACACTAGGGAATTAGAAGGTTTGTTTATTTAAAATAACGCTTCCTCCTAGAATCTTTTAAGAGTTGACTGCAAGGTAAAAAAATTTACTGACAATTGCAAGGCATCAAAGTAAACATTCCTGTGATAAAATAATATCGATTTAAATCAGTCATATTTGGATAAGGAATTTTCTGATAAGGAATGTTATAAAGTTTTGTTAAAAAAAAACAATATAAATAGTTTAAATAGTGAAGCAGTTGATTTTTGAGTTAATCTACCAGTTCCGATATCCAGATGAAATCGTGTTATTGGAGTTTAGTTAAAAAACAAGATACCGAATGTAAGTTTACCTTCTTTTTTATGAATTACAAAAATGAATATAATCCAATATTATATTTCAAACAATCTATAATCCCAGTCAGAATCTGATTCTTGAAAATCAAGGATTACACTAGATATGTGGCTGGTATCAATTATATCCTACATTTCAAGAAAATGTCGTGGTTCTAAAAAGAACCGTTTTAATACATATAAATATCCATAAAGGTATTAGTTTAAGATATTTCCTCAATATCATTCTGGAATTAACAATCTGATTCGCGAACGGCAGAAACTGAAATAAAGATAACTCAGCCTCTTTTTCTAATTGAAACTAATTTAATAATTTTAATATTAGTCTTTTTTCATTCTCGGTATACCTCGGAATATTTAAAATATTTTTATGACAATACAAAATTCAATTTTCACTGTAGTTAAAATGTCTGAAAATACTAACCTGGAATGGCAATTATCAGTTGACATTGTGAAAGTACTGTCACTGTCATTATCCAGATCATCTGTGTCAAATTATATTTATATGCATAATTGATTAGATATCTATTTAGCGTATTCTAAATTCCAACCAATTATACGTTCGTAAGTAGAATTCGCTTTAATATGCGAATAGCCGTGAACGATACCTAATTTTCTAAGTTCTATATATAATAATCAGCGACTCACGTTTTTTTCTGTCACTTCTAGCTTAGTGCGTTAGAGAGAATTCGAACAACTATGACGCACTGAAAGAAGGGTTTGGGACGGACCGTAAGCTTATTTTCTTATATAATATATATATATATATATATATATATATAATATATATATATATATATATATATATATATCCGGTTTTTTAGGCGTTACGCCCGTCCTGTAGGGATCTATGAGGAGTTTCACCGTATCAAGCCCTTATCTCTTGCCGTACTGCTCCACCATAGGCCGATCAGAACCCAGCATATCCTAGTCTAAGCCGCAGATTCATCTAGAATTTTAAACTGCTGCGTTAGACTATTTGTTTTCTGTACACCGAGCTCGGGCTCGACCCACATCCACTAAACCATTCGACAGTGAAGCGAATGAGAGGCAGCCGCACAGCCCGCTGAGCTATCTGACCGAATTTTCTTATATAATATCATAGTAGAAAAAATTTTGCCCGCAATATTTTCGACTGGTAGGAAAGTTTGTTGCCTGGCAATTTTAGCGAATTAAATTTTGACAGTTAAATCACGAGACGTAAGTCGAGTGGGTTCCGGTACATTTATCCTCCACGCGCTTTTGGGAAAAATTTTTGTAAATCTTGAAATGATACATTATTTTAAGCTATTTCAAAACAAAAATTGCGGAATTTCCATCTGTTTAAATAAAAACCGACTTTGAAAATTGAAAATTTCACACTTTTTGGGCGGCCATAATGAGAGTTGACTGCGACGTTTCCAAATCTATAAAAATGTATAGTATCACGAGTATTCTCTATACTTTAAATTTTATGATATTTTTTTTAATGTAATAGTTCTTTTTACGTAATATACATTCATAAATACTATTTTAGAATAATAATGATAATCTAAATGCAGGAATTAAACATAAATACTAGATAATAATGTAAAATAAAACTGATCAATAAATTCTGTATTATATTTAACAAATTTTGGAAATTACTAAAATCATTAAACACAATTTTTAAAGAAAAAAATAAGTTTTCTTAAATTTTAAAGAACTGAAATTCTTCTTATTACTCTTTATAAGCAAGTCTGCTTGTTCATTGGCGGATTAATACCTCCTCCATTCTGCTTTTGTTGTTATTCCATTCTTTTTTTTTTCTATTTTGTGTTAATTCATTTATAGACTGTACCATTCATTTTTTTCTTATGTCATCATTTATCTTTTGATCTCCGAGCGTAATTCCTGTAATTCTTCTCAATACTAAAAAACTTAAATGTGCGGTGTTATTACAAAACAATTGACAATTCAATAATATTACATATTAACGATTCATTTTTAAATGAGGAACACTTTTCGTTTTTATACTAGCTTCAGTGGTAAATTTACAACAATTGGAACTATATGCAATAGACTAATAGGTTACCTGTGCAAGGTTGATATGGAAAATCGTGGAAAAAGTTAAAAGTAATATATTTAAAGTCTTGTTACGTCTAGCTGATAGATGGTGATCTACAGACGCCGGTAGGTCATCTCACAGCCCAGGAAGAGAACTCAATCTATCCTAAATTAAACGAAACTAATTAAGATAAAATATATTAATCGGTGTATACTATTAAGATAAATATACAAGGTTTCTTCCTGGGGTGTGAAATGACCTTCCTAACCTAAACGAAAAAAAATAAGATAAACTATATGAGTACTTTCCTGGGGTATTCCCTATCTCATACCCCAACAACCCATTCTAACCTAAACAAAAATAATTAAGGTGAATATATTAATCGGTGTAGGTGTATATTATTAAGGAACTCAACCTATCCAACCTATCCCAAACTAATTTAAGATAAAAATAGATTAGTTTACATATATATATATATATATATATATATATATATATATATATATATATATATATATATATATATAAATATATATATATATATGTAATTATTTCAGATGTTTTCCGGGTTTGACTCCGCGTTAAATAGTTAAATAGTAACGCGGAGTCAATCCCGAAAAACTTCTGAAATCACATATAGTTCCCGCGGAAATTTCAAATCAAATATAAATATATATATATATATATATATATATATATATATATATATTATATATATAATATATATATATATATATATATATAGTATACTGGTACGGTTGATTGGGTTAGCAGCTGAATAATGAAAGCCAAAGTGTGCTCTTTTCAACGATTTCGTTAAATTTCTTTAACATCTTCAGACGAATGCTACAATATGTTACAAAATGGTGAAATTGAGTATTTTACATAAGATGTAGTAAACACTTACTTGTGTGAGGTTACAGGCAAAAGTGGTATTTGAAAGTTCCATGTTGAAAAAGTTTTTTGAAGATTTTTTATAGCAAAAAAAGGAATAAGTTGTATGTGTTATATGGTGGCTTGAAAACTCAAACAATACAAGTGCATTTTATACAAGTATAAAATGCACTTGTATATATATATATAGAATACAAGTCTGAAGATGTTAAAGAAATTTAACGAAATATAACGAAATCGTTGAAAAGAGCACACTTTGGCTTTCATTATTCAGCTGCTAACCCAATCAACCTTACCAGTATACTAATTAATAATTGGACAGCTGTGATCATTCTTCGTTTATATATATATATATATATATATATATATATATATATGTATATATATATATATATGTATATATATATATATATATATATATATATATATATATTTATATATATATATATATATATATATATATATATATGTATATATATATATATGTATATATATATATATATATATATATATATATATATATATATATATATATATATATTATGTACCTTATTGCTAAATTCCAGTAATAGCCTAAAAAGGTATGCGTATTGGACGTATAGCTGACAGACGGGGATGAGGGAAATCTTTTTCTGGTTGCTTGAAGGGCAGCCACAGAACAAGACACCCAGACGCCCTACGGACATCTGGGTAGTGCCGGATTAACCGCATTCCGGCTAAAACCTACCACAAAATGTAAGGCCGCCTTTCACAAAATGTTCATACAATTTGGCTACCGAACGAGAAAGAAAAATGGGCTATAAGCGCACCTTTTCCTCGTTATCTCCCTCTTTTGGGGTAAGAATAACCTTAGCATCTTTTAACTGAGTTGAAAACTGTTGTTGTTTAATCAGTTTGTTTAGGAATCTCATGAAAATCTGCACCTTACTGTCAGGTGCTTTTTAAATCTTTATCCGAATTGGAATTATAATTCAACTGAGTGGATTTGATTGTAACCTAAAAATCAGATTAAGAATGGTCGTTTAGGTGCAAAAAATATTAAAAATTTTCTCGTTGTTTTATATTACCAAACTGTTAAAACTCAACTATTAAAAGGTTTTAATTTAGCGATAATTTTACTTAAATCAACCGTAAATTGCAAACGTGTATTTACAAACAGGTCCATGCTAAAAGTTATAATAACAAATTTTAATATACTAGATTTAACTACAATTGAAACATCTTATTTTGCCTTTTGTTTAGGCTCATATCAAATTTCCTGTTTTACCTACGTAGTTAATTTTGTCAGAAATTAATCCTGGCAGTAACATTTCTGCTATATATTAAAGTTGAAATAAAGTTCCAAGCAAAACAAAAGTAACTTTCTCCTACATTAACTCCTCAAAGTAGATTACATTATCACCAAATAGATTTTGTTTAAAAGTTAGTTAAACAGTTTGAAACAAATGCGGGAGTAAATTTCAGCAATAATTGATTTTCTTTTATTATTTGTTTTAGAATTGCAGATGCAATTCATAGATAAATCAGTCATTTTGTCCATATTTAATTATATTATCGAGAAATATAAATAACTCATTTTGGGAATGTCGTTTGAGTTCTTTTTAGTTTTCGTTGTCTTTTTGGGAGCAACGTTTGTGATCTCATAATTAAGTATTTTAAGTTTTTATCTTAGCTAATGCATTTTGCATAATTGGTAAACCTTAATTAATCTATTTCTGTCGCATACAAAATTCGGCACAAAAATTGTATCTCTTAATGCTAACATCAGTGAAAAGAGCATCTTCTTTGGTATTCTCATCTACTGCATTTGCAAGCATTCCATTTATAAATAATACCTTAGTTGAGGAGGTATGTTTACACTGATTAAAGCAAAAATTTGAATGTGGTTTTGAAAATTAGTTTACTGATTTACAAATGATTGAAGAGTACACTGCAAAAACGGGGACTGTCAATAAAGTACAATTATTGTGAGAAATCTGGTTTAAAAGTTTAGAGGAACACATTTTAAAAACTGTTACTTTTGGCAACTTTTCATATATCTTGTTTTGATTGTTGGAATATTTTTAAAAGCTTACTTATAAGTTTTATTTATTTTTGACAATATTTATTTCTTGATCAACCCTTTTGAAGTAGTGTAGAAAGTAAAAACCGGTGTTATTGCTGTATTTATTCGTAAATAACTAGACACTTGTCGTGTCAGGCCATGGAGTTTAGGGTGCCTGCAATTTAAAATGACGTGTACCCTATCCTTCATGCTATGGCATGCTGGACGAGCCTTACAGTCTGTAGTCAACACCCCGAAGTATGAGCGGGAACACAAAGTGCATCAATATTCATACTCTTATGAAACGCACCTGGCGGATCATAAGGGCCTTCACATTTTACTCTTCTTCAACTTGTCTTGAGTGAAATGTCTTTAATCTTTTCTTTCAGCCTCTCTTGGCTAACTCTTGTTTCTTCCGACCCCGAATGGCGATTAGGTTTCCGAAAGCAGACGGGTCACTATATTTCTCATTACTTTATATTCTTCTCTGACCGAGTATAGGCGGTATAACCTTAACATCTCGCACGAAGGAAATGTCGTTGCCACCTCCAGGACCACTACCCCCTGAGGCTTGTCTGGACGCTACAGTCGGCAGCCCCGGCACCAGACTCGGGTGCGGAAGGCCAATAACCTACCCATCTTAAATTTTATCATATTACTGAAACTTTTGGTAGAAACAAACCGGACGGATCAAATGTTGACGACCTTGGCATCACCGAAAACACGGACACGATTTAATTGCTGGAATGTTAAAACTCTGTATGAGATTTCTAAACTAGCTCAAGCAGTAAAAGAATTAAACAGGTATAAATTAAGCTTTGTTGGTCTATCGGAAGTAAGATGGTTGGGAAATGGTGAACACCATACCCAAACAGGAGAACTCCTATTATACAGTGGTAAAGAAAATAGAAATCACGAGAGCGGAGTGGGTCTTCTACTCAGCAAACAAGCCAAAAAAAGCCTCATTTCATGGAAACCAATCAATGATAGAATTATGATTGCCAGATTTTATACCAGATACCGCAAGATAACAGTGATTCAGTGCTATGCTCCCACGAACACATCTCTCCACGAAGATAAAGACATATTCTACGAACAACTAGAACAAACGACCCAATAAGTAAACCAAGGCGATATAGTAATAGTGATGGGCGATATGAACGCTAAAGTTGGAGAAGAGAATATTAACTTAGAAACCGTAATGGACAAACATGGCCTGGGAGTGATGAATGAAAACGGAGAGCGCTTTACAAATTTTTGCTCCAATCATAGCTTAGTTATTGGTGGAACCACCTTCCCACATAAAAATATTCACAAGGTTACATGGACTGCACCAGGTCATATAAGAAAAAATCAAATAGACCACATCGCCATATCAAAAAGATGGAGATCATCTCTTCTTGTTGTACGTAACAAAAGAGGAGCAGACATCGCAAGTGACCATCATCTTGTAATCGGTACCATTTAAATCAAAATGATAAAAAAACAAAATCACACGAAACACCAAACGACCAACATACAAGCTAGACAAATTAAAAACGGCTACAGGAAGACACATGTTTAGGGAGGAACTTCAACGCAAAAGAAGAGAACGTGAAGTAAATAGCTGGGAAGATCTGGCAAATGTTTTGACAGAAATAGCTGAAGATAAACTGGGTAAATAAGAGAAACATAGAAAAGAATGGAATCAGATGAAACTTGGAATCTTATCGAAGAAAGAAAACAGCAAAAAAAAGATATTTTGCAAGCAAGAACTGTAGAAGAAAGAGCGAACCGACAACAAGAATATGAAACAATAAATAAAGCAGTTAAAAGAAATGCAAGAAGAGACAAAAGAAGATGGACTGAAGAACTGGCAAAACAAGCCGAAATAGCTGCACAACACAATAGAACTAGAGAGCTATACCAAATTACTAGACGTCTAACAAAAAGGGGCCCAACTGTTCAAACGTCGTAAGATCCAAGACAGGAGAATTACTTACTACAACAAATGAACAAATAGAGAGATGGAAAGAGCATTTTCAGGAGATGCTAGGCACGCCCAGGAATAACGCAGATGAAATTGTCGAAAATCCACAGAATATAGACTTGCGTATATCTTGCGACGCCCCTTCCAAAACAGAGATAATAACAGCTATCAAATCTCTGAAAAATAGCAAGTATCCGGGAATCGATAACATTGCTGCCGAAATACTTAAAACTGATCCGCATCTAACTGCTGAACTTTTGCTCCCCATAATCCGAGAGGTGTGGGAAACAAACCGCATTCCAGCGGGCTGGAAAAAAGCCATCATTATTAAGCTTCCAAAAAAGGGCAACCTCACACTATGCAAAAATTGGAGAGGAATAACCTTGCTTACCGCCATAAATAAAATCTTCACGACCACCATACTTAAAAGATTAACAAACAAGGTTGAAATTCGAGCTAATCAAGTAGGCTTTAGACCAGAATCCTCCTGCATAGACCACATTAATACTGTGAGGCTAATAATGGAACAATCGGTTGAATGGAACACACCCCTATACATGGTTTTTGTTAATTTCCCGCATAAAATAATTTCCATTATAAAGTTACTGTACACTGAAGCGAAATGCAGCGTGACACACAATGGGATCAACAGTGACGAATTTGACGTACTTACTGGAGTCAGACAGGGATGCGTGCTTTCTCCGTTTCTTTTTAACATAGCTCTAGACTATGTTCTCTCCAAACTAGACTCTGACATAAGAGGGATACAATGGACGTTAACCACACGCCTAAGCGATCTAGAATACGGCGACGATATCTGCCTGTTAGGACAAAGGTTCCAAGATGTGGCTGACCAATTGGAAACACTTTCCACTGAAGCCAATAAAATAGGTTTGAAAATCAATATTGGTAAAACCAAATCCATGAGAATAAATGCAAGAAACAACACGCTATTCACCATTAATAACATGCAGATTGAAAATGTGGAAAACTTTACGTATCTTGGAAGTGTCATAACAGAAAGCGGAGGTACAGAAGACGATATTCGTATGAGGATACGAAAAGCGCAACAAGCTTTCAGCATGCTCAACCCTGTTTGGAGGTCTGGAGACTACACTATGAGGACAAAGATCCGCATATTCCAGTCAAATGTCATGTCTGTACTACTTTAAGGATGTGAAACCTGGAAAGCGACAAAAACCCTTACAGACAAACTGCAGGTCTTTGTTAATAAATGTCTACGAAGGATTGTTCGTATTTTCTGGCCTAACATCATCAGAAACGAAGATTTACTACACCTGACCAAACAAAAGAGGGTAGTAAATGAAATAAAGTCCAGAAAGTGGAGTTGGATCGGTCACACACGAAAAATTAACTCCAGTATTGCAAAGACTGCCCTAGAGTGGAATCCCCAAGGAAAACGACAAAAAGGTCGCCCAGTACAAACTTGGAGAAGATCCATCATGGACGAGATAAGAAAACAAGGAAAGTCTTGGAACGAGGTGAAGGCCTTAGCGCAAAATGGAACCCGATGGCGCGTTTTCACTGAAGCTCTATGCTCCACTTAGGGGTTCAAGAACCTTATATATATATATATATATATATATATATATATATATATATATATATATATATATATATATATATATATATATATATATATATATAACTAGACACTTGTTTAGAACTATATAACTTAAACTATTTTTCTTTTCTTTTTTTGATTAGTGGATTCTGTGACTAGTAGATTTTCATATCATATCTTTGCTTTTGGTTCACAAAATGTCTTTAAATGTTGTAGATCTTTAAATTTAGCATCCGATA